TTAGACAGAAATATCTCATTGAACTTTTAAACATGGTTTGACTGTTCAGTGACAGTTTTATCTGTCTGATGTTTTATCATTAAAAGTACTGTCAGCTGTAAAGTTGATCACAGCAGCATGAGTTTAAGAGAAATAATGTAGCAGATCTGTAACAAACAAATGACTAGAAGTGGAAAACGAGTTGTATGGATAAGGCGGCAGTCGAGCTGATGTTTGATTAGGGATCAGTAACATGGTGATCTGTGTGCACTAGGCGGAGGCAAGGCTGGCAGCGAAGCGAGCCGCAAGAGCTGAGGCCCGAGAGATCAGGATGAAGGAGCTGGAGCGACAGCAGAAGGAGGTGAGCCGGGCTGTGGTCCTATCGTCATAGCAACAAGTCCAGCCCAGCAGTAGTTCCCAAATAAACCAGTTCTACCCACAGGTTCTGGCTCCATTTTAGCCATTATTGCGCTGCTGCCGCGGTGTTTGAACTCAGGGGTTTTTAGTGGATGCTTGAGAATTTCACTCAGTGTTCAAACAACAGCAGTGGAAAAATAACAAATATCTTATTACAGACGCAAAAATAAAATAAGAGAAGAAGATGAATTGATAATGGTTGTTACTTGTAGCTCTACTGGGAACCACAAAGTCTCCTACAGGTGATTTGTTGCTTTAGATGTTGGTTTTCAAATGGGAACATGCAGGTTGTTTGGAAACCATTCTGGTCTGTTGGTGTAAATATTCTGTTACTTCACATGAAATGAAAAGTTTGTCCAGGTGGGTTTACCTATTGAGGGGTCAAAGGTCAGATTGTGTCACTATTTGCTCTTCAGTGTCAGTCAGCTGCTACACAACAGCTCAGGATTTACTCATGTTTGGTTCCTACTGTCCACATCTGGTGAGTAACTTCATTTCAACATGCGGAGCGCACATTTCTTCAAATGAACTTTGACAGAGCTGCTGTAGAACAGCCAGATTAGATGTAAACACCCAGAGGGTTAAAATGTGCAGAAGTTTTACTTTAGAACAAAATACATTGTACGTGACAAATTAGTTATCTAAAGAAACTTTTGTTCTTCCTGTATAATGTCATTGAATCATTTTGTACCATCAGACTTCCTGCTTATAGGAAGATTAATTTACAAACAACTTAAACAAAAGCATTGCTTTATTATTTGAGAGAGGGTCATAGTGCAGTATCCAACCAACACTATACAAACATGACAACATAACGGTAAAATAAAATGAAAAAGCAGAAGACTGTAAAACATTGAAAGAACAAAGCCAAACCTTCACGTATCTGGGTGGAATTTACTCAAATATGAAGCTAATTTTATTATTTTTCAGTTCTGAAAATACCAAAGTGTCGATTTGTTAGATGTTTCAAGTGAAGGTGTAAAGATCATGTGAGCCTAGAGTTTAAATGGGGTGGGGTGTTCTTTTAAGTCTCCAGCTGCTCGGTCTTGTTTGATTATCTGCTCAAAGGAATTGATTAGTTTGGTGGTAACAGACAAAACCATGTTATTTCGTCAGTTTGTAGTGATTGCCTGTTTGACTTTCCTAAAGTCCCAGTACTGTAAATAACTCCAAGATCTTCACTGGACAAGGTGGTTTGGCAGTATTTAATAAAGATGTAATAATTATAAAAACAGTTCAGTGCAGGTAAAGGTTTGAGACAAACAGCTGAGTGTCAATACAGGTGAGCAGAGGTGGTGAGCCTGACACATCTTGATCATTAACAGACACCCGCATTAAGTATCCAACAGTCCTAATGTTCCTGTAAAAAGTGATTAAACCTTTCATTGTCTCACCTGTGCAGGGTCATGTCAGGTGACCGTCTTCTCGCCAGGTGTTTAAAAATCACTATGAAACTTGTGAATCATTCATTTCATTTAAAGGTGGCATTTTATTGGACTGCATTATATTCAGAGGTGCTCCTAATATTCTGACCATCTTATGTATGTAGCTGGGGAGGACAAAAATATAGATACCTCATGAATATAATTTAGTCCAGTGTTGCATTGAAGTGCATACAGTTGTTCAGTTGTACCTAACAAAGTGACCAGTGAGTGTAGATGTAGCATAGAGTACAATTAGAAAACAAAAATTCAGACATGTTTGGCGCTGAAAACTTTGAATGATCCTGATATTTTTTATTTATTTATTTTTTTTGAATAACTAGATTCTCAGACTCCATGTCGTCTGACTGGGAGCAGGGACACTCACATCACCTCTTGTTGTATTAAACAACACGTTCATTAGAAGAGCTCTTAAACCCAATTTATTGTAAACAGGGTCTTAAGCTGAGTTCACTTCTCTGAGAAAACATCCAGTTTACTTTCTCAGCTCTTGTTTTTGGTATTAAAGTCTGACTAACTCAGATCTGTCTCTGACCGTGGTGTGTAGTAAAAGTTAAGGTGGGTTCACCTGGCTTCATGAAACCGTCTTCTGCTTGTTGAATGACTGTGTGATTGAACCCAAATGCGCTATGACCTTTAACCTCTTCCCCTGTGTCTCTCCTCTTGTTTCCTCCCACCTCCTGTAGCTGTTTCATAGCCACAAGGTACGACTGACTCCTCCATTCCACCTTAGATACACAGGGTTTGTTTGACTCCTCTGAGAGCAGCAGCCAGGTGGGGTTGAATGTTCAGACAGCTCTGTTGAAGCTCCACCAACTTGGCATAGTCCGAGGAGTAAAACAAACACACCTGAAGAAGGTTTCATGTTTTTGTCTGCGAGTGTTTGTTGTCTTCTAACTTCTTCATCTCCTCCTCGTCGTCGTCCTACAGAAGTATTATGGTCTGGACAATAAGTGGGGTCACATTGAACAGTGGATGGTAGGTCTCTGTACCACCTCCTCCTCTTCCTCCTACAGAAGTGACAGACTCATGGAAACCTTGTCTCTCCTGAAAGCTATTATTTTGAAGGAGCACTGAACGAACTAAGACCTTCATTACATGACTATCGGGAAGTATTTATGCAGGTGACATTAGAAACAGTTAGCGGTCCAGGGTGGAACCCGGTTTTAACCACGTAAAACACATGGAGTGACAAGGCTCCCGTGTGTCCATGTTGTAGATGTGCATGTGAGCAGATGTTTGTCTGCAGCTTGTTGTTTGTTCTGCATGAGCTCAGACAGATGACACAGGATTAATCGCATTTAATCCACATCTGAAACATTATCAGACTTTATCATTATAGTCTCTTTACTTTGTTTACTGGATCATACTGTTTACTTCACCATATTGTTTTATCACATTTACAACACGCTGATGTTAACATGCTTGCTGCATGAGCATGTTTAGTGTGTGAGGCGTTTACCCCCCTCAGCATGTCTGACAGGAGTTTCACAATGTTGTTTTGTCCCTGCACTCTGTCTGCTAGGAGCTTCCTCTGTGATGACTCTCCTTCTGCAGTTTCAGCTCTGTAACCTCTCTGTCCTTCTTCGTGGCCTTTCAGGAGGACAGTGAACGGTATTCTTGCCACTCACGGAGACACGCTTCGGTCTGTATCTCTTCTTTCACTCTATCTTTATTTCCTTAAGTTCCTACTTCATTTTCTGCTCCATACTACCTTAAAGCTACTCCAGTGACAATTATTTCACCGTCAGTGTCTGCAGAAGATAACACTGAGCTTGTCTTCCTCTCTGAGCTGCAGGTCATGTGTCATCAGGTGCCTCTAAAATATGAACACAGTTGAATATGAAATTGAGAAGCCCTAACGGATGCAGCAGGTGATTGTATGTGTTTATTTTGCACAAATCCCTTCCACAGAATCAAAGCAACAATCAGTTTGGCGTCCCAAACAGCTCCACATGTTGTTCGGTGTAGTGTAAACAGAGCAGAGGTCGGTGCTCTGTCTTACTTCAGATGCTATAATCTTAGCATTTGGAGCTGCTCACCTGCAGAGAGGTTCAGGTCACCAGAGACAAAAAAACTGCATCTGTTTTCTGGTTTGACTGTTTCACCTGACACTGAAGCGATGAGAAGCTTTAAAAGCATCCTAGTCCAAGGTCAGCACCCCGGTCAGAGGAGCGGATCTGGTCACATTCTCTGTATTTGTGTCTGCAGGTCTCAGATGATGAGGAGAGGATGTCTGTGGGGAGTCGAGGCAGCCTCAGGGTGAGTCCCACTCATTTTACTTTTTTTCCCATCCACAAAAACTAAGCCATAATGTGAAAGATGAACAGACATGAGGTAATGACGTCTTATTCAGTGACCCACAGCATGTGTGGACTCACAGCTCCTGATCAGTGAAACCAAATCTCTCCTGTTCAGATGTTGCTGTAGCTGCTTGACCTGTTGCACTGCCATTAATCAGAAGCGTCTTGCATTCAGTAACATTCTCTGTCAGCTGATGTTGGCGATTATTGGAAGAAACAGGTTTCTGAACTATGTAAATACACCTACAGTCCACTGAGAATTAGATAAAACGCAGGCACAGCTGAGACAGGAGGAGCATCCATCAATAGCTGACGTTTATGAACAGGCACGATCACTGAACAGGAAGTGCTGTGGACGTAATGTTAGTGTTACTGTCAGCCAGATATCGGTGTGCACTGAAAGCAGCACAACAGTTTACAGCTGCAAGGGTCACACAGGTCAAAGAGATGATCGGATTTGCACATGATCAGTACCAGCTTGAGATCACGTTTCTGCTCCTGTTGTCAGACAAGGCATCAAAATAATCTTTCCAGTCTCATCTGTTTCTTGTCTTATTCTTTAAATTTCTGCTTTAAAGCAGAAGCCTCCTTCTCTGTCAATTAATAAACTGCTCTGTCTTCTTTCCTTCCATTCTTCCTTCTTTTACTCCTCCTCCTCTTCCTGGCAGCCTTCAGACTACAGTGGGTTTCTGGGTTCCAGCTCTCGAGCCTCCTCCAGGGCCAGTTCAGCTCGTGCGAGCCCAGTGGTGAGCTCTTGTCTCCTGTGGTGATTTTCCAACAGCACAGGTCAGCCCTGCTGAGCTGCTCCCGAGTCAGCGCGGTTGTATTTCCACGGCACTTTAAAATGCATTGTTTACTTTTCACATCTTGATCACATGGGGGGGCGACGCCAGCCGCTGAGAGACAACACAATTTATAGTGTCAGTGTGGTTACTAGCTTGCAACATGGAGCCCTTAGTACTAGGCATTACTTGAACCCCTTGTTAGTAACCAAGTGTGAGACTTTTCAGCCCATCACGTTTTCGATGAACTGGCTCTTCTGAAGGTAGAGCTTGACCCTGAGCAGCAGCGAGGCCGGTTGAGCCCGAGTCGGCATGATTACACCCTGCTGCTGCAGTAGTAATAGGTGGAAACAAAGGGTAACCTGTGCCCACCTGGCTCAGATCAATTAAAGCAGGCTGATCAGTGCTCATGGAGAAGTACCAGAGTTGTCAGTGTGACCATTGGCCCCTCTCCTCTTAGGTTCTCACTCACTCTTTAACTCTGGCTCCACCTGGTGGTTGTCTACCTGTGTCTTAAAACAGTTTTTATTTGAAACATTTTAATACACAGAATAGTCCGTCTCCATGGTAACACAGCATTGATCAATCACTGAAGTGTGTGTTTGTGTGTTCAGGTGGAGGAGAGACCTGACAGAGATTTCCTGGATAAAGTAAGTCAACTTTTTTCTCACTTTACTGTTTCTGTTGGTTATGAACAAATAAATATCAAATCTTCAGCCTGACAGATTTATTAAAGTTTGGAGAAATATAAGTAAGATTAATGTGATGAAGATATTGCTCCTCTTCCTCAGGGTTCCAGGACTGCATCGACTCTGTCGGCTGCCACACTCGCTTCTCTGGGCGGCGCTTCGTCTCGCAGAGGAAGCGGCGACACTTCGTTCTCCGTGGAAACCGAGGCATCAATCAGAGAAATCAAGGTACACGCAATAATAAACCATCTGTCATCCACACCGCCATCCTGTGGAAGGTTGGGGGGCTCAATCCAAGCTGACAGTAACAATGTATTGTTTATTTTCTCAAGATGAAAGAAATCTCCACCAATAATAATATTTCTGTGTTCAGGACTCTCTGGCGGAGGCAGAGGAGAAGTACCGTAAAGCAATGGTTTCTAATGCTCAGCTTCACAATGAGAAGTTGACCCTGATTTATCAGTTGGAAACTCTGAGGGAGGAGCTGAGCGACATGGAGGAGCTGCTCTGGGAGGCACGACGGCACTGTGACGACAGGACCAGGGTTAGAGGTCACACCAGGGTCACAGACAAATACATGGTTCCTTTTTCTACCCTTTGAAAAACAATCATGGCCTTCTTTAAAGCGTAACTCGGTTTTCCAGAAGGAAAAAAAAAACTTTGAAAAAAGTCAATCTTTTAAGGTGAAACTGAGGAGTGACATTGGTGTTGTATGCTTGAAATATTAGTTTTTCTTGTACAGAAAGTGTAAAGCAAAACAAAGTTCATGTAATTTTGCAGCTTTTATAAACCTTGAATGGAGTTCTAAATGATTGTCTTTGAACACTTGTGCAGTACTTGCATAAAAATCAGCTTTGACAGAGATAGTTGAAGTTGAAAATGAAAGTGTCATTGTTAACCCTCCTGTGTGTGTGTTTCCAGGAGTTTGAGCGTGAGTGTCAGGCTCACAGTGTCCTTCAGTTCCAGTTTAAAGAGATGACTGAAACTCTGAGGCAGGCTGAAGAGTTGCTGACGGTCAGTGCCTCCACTTACACACGAACATCAGTTACCAAAATTACACATCAAATACACAACAAGCACAGCAGCAGACAAATTTAATCCTCAATAATTTTGGTTAATGAAAAGACATGAATACATATACAGTGGTGTGAAAAAGTGTTTGCCCCCTTACTGATTTCTTATCTTTTTGCATGTTTGTCACACTGTAATGTTTCAGATCATCAAACAAATGTATATATTAGTCAAAGATAACACAAGTAAACACATCATGCAGTTTTTAAATGAAGGTTTTTATTATTAAGGGAAAACAAAATCCAAAACTATATAGCCCTGTGTGAACAAGTGTTTGCCCCCTAAACCTAATAACTGGTTGGGCCACCCTTAGCAGCAACAACTGCAATCAAGCATTTTCGATAACTTGCCATGAGTCTTTTACAGCGCTGTGGAGGAATTTTGGCCCACTCATCTTGGCAGAATTGTTGTAAGTCAGCCGGAGTGGCCGGCCGACCAAAATTACCCCAAGAGCGCAGCGACAACTCATCCAAGAGGTCACAAAAGACCCCACAACAACATCCAAAGAACTGCAGGCCTCACTTGCCTCAGTTAAGGTGAGTGTTCATGACTCCACCATAAGAAAGAGACTGGGCAAAAATGGTTTGCATGGCAGAGTTCCAAGACGAAAACCACTGCTGAGCAAAAAGAACATAAAGGCTCGTCTCAGTTTTGCCAGAAAACATCTTGATGATCCCCAAGACTTTTGGGATAATACTCTGTGGACAGACGAGACAAAAGTTGAACTTTTTGGAAGGTGTGTGTCCCATTATGTGTGGTGTAAAAGTAACACCGCATTTCAGAAAAAGAACATCATACCAACAGTAAAATATGGTGGTGGTAGTGTGATGGTCTGGGGCTGTTTTGCTGCTTCAGGCCCTGGAAGACTTGCTGTGATAAATGGAACCCTGAATTCTGCTGTGTACCAAAATATCCTGAAGGAGAATGTCCGGCCATTCGTTTGTGACCTCAAGCTGAAGCGAACTTGGGTTCTGCAGCAGGACAATGATGCAAAGCACACCAGCAAGTCCACTTCTGAATGGCTGAAGAAAAACAAAATGAAGACTGGAGTGGCCTAGTCAACGTCATGACCTGAATCCAATTGAGATGCTGTGGCATGACCTTAAAAAGGCAGTTCATGCCCGAAAACGCTCCAATGTGGCTGACTTACAACCATTCTGCCAAGATGAGTGGGCCAAAATTCCTCCACAGCGCTGTAAAAGACTCATGGCAAGTTATCGAAAATGCTTGATTGCAGTTGTTGCTGCTAAGGGTGGCCCAACCAGTTATTAGGTTTAGGGGGCAAACACTTTTTCACACAGGGCTATATAGTTTTGGATTTTGTTTTCCCTTAATAATAAAAACCTTCATTTAAAAACTGCATGATGTGTTTACTTGTGTTATCTTTGACTAATATATAAATTTGTTTGACGATCTGAAACATTACAGTGTGACAAACATGCAAAAAGATAAGAAATCAGTAAGGGGGCAAACACTTTTTCACACCACTGTAAGACAATGTCATTAGGTAAAATTTCTGAAGAAAAAAAGTTAATTTGCAGCCAGTTATTGTCTTGATTAGTGAATAAGGGTTAGTTTATAAAACATTAGAAGATGGGTAAAAATGCACATTATTATTTTCCACAGCCAGAGATGACAGTCTAAAACCCAAAGATGTTTAACTGTCAAATGTGACAAATAGGGTTGCAACGGTACAAGATTTTCACAGTATATCCTCAGAAAATGTCATGGTTTCACGGTTTTAGGGTATACAGTATCACACAGTTATTATTACTGTCAGCTACAACGATGCTCAGAAGAATGAGAAAAGGGTTGTTCTTTTTTGTTTTTTTATTTTATTTTATTTTATTATTGCAGGTGACTGAGCTGGACTGCAGCACTAGACTGACCCTAAAGAATAAACAGTAATAAAAATAACTTTAAAAAAGCATATAGCTATAACACATTGTATAACTAAGGTATGTTAGTTTGGATGTTGGCATTAGTAATAGAGGAAGTAATCGCATCCTTTACCTAAGTAAAAGTACTAATATCACACTGTAAAAGTAGCTTACTGTTACAAAAAAGTCCTGCACTGATAAAAGTAAGCATTAACACAAAAATGTACTTAAAGTGTTAGAAGTGTTTGTAGGCTGCTCAATACAGAAGGACGTTACACTACACAGTATATTATAGTATTAGATTTCTGGCCTGTCACTCAGGCACTGACATACAAGCAGGATGCAACTGTTGCAGCTGGTTGAACTGCAGCTCTGCTGAACTAGTTTGGATCCAAGTGCAGCTATTGATTTTCATTAGGGATCAACCTGCTGATTATTTTCTCTACTAATCTGACTGATTTATAACATAGTGACATGGCACCACACTGCTCTAAACAATTATCAGAGTAGTTGTTGATTTATTGTAGGTGGGTGAGAGCACTGCCAGACCTGTCTGTGCCTTCACACAACACACACACATTTGTGTATGTGTGTGTGTGTGTGTGTGTGTGTGTGTGTTTCTGGGGTCAGATCAGTGCGATTCAGAGATTAAGCAAGGGACAGACAATGTGGAAAACTATTTCGATAGCGCATTTTACACACACTGACCTGTATGGAGAGATGGTGTTCTCGAAGGTGTTTGTTTTTGAGACATCCAAACTAATCCTGTGCTTTTTTTTTTTAATTTCTCTTTTGGTGGATGGTAGTTTGGTGATTTCAGCCTCCTCCTCTCTGCCATTTGTCCACTGTGCATCTGTGGAGTCTGATAGGCAGGCAGGGAAGAAAGGTGCACATGCATTGTGTTTTTCTCCTTCAATCCCGATAACAGGCAAAGGTGCATGGTATGATAACCATCAATTTTCATACCATGGTGCACTGTGAAACCGGTGTACCGCAGCAACCATAGTGATTAAAAAAAAGCATCAGGTCCTCACATCTGAGAAACTAGAACTAGCAAAGGTTTGGCATTATAGCTTCAAATATTACTAAAGCGACTCAATGACTATCAGTCAGTTGTTCAGTTAATTCTCTGTCAATTGACTAATCATTGCAACTGAGTAATAAAAGGTATTTGTAGTGTATTTTCTCAGGACTGCAGACAAATCTCAAGAAACCTGGCCATGTCACACAGCTCATACCAACTCTTCCTGCTGCTGTCTTCCTTCCTTTCTTCCTTCCTTCCTGCCTTACATCTCCGGTGAACAGGAGGTGTCTGACCTGCGGTTGAAGAGCAGTAGTTTCTGTCAGGAGATTTCTGATCTGCAGGAAACTCTGCAGTGGAAGGAGAAGAAGATTATGGTACAGTGCTGCAGTTTCACATTCAGTTTCCAGAGGCAGAAATCATCTATTAAACCATCGTAAATCTGTAACATGATTTCTTGTCCTTTTTTTGTGTCCTGGCTAAAACAACACTTGTAGACAAATACCTTAAGACAAAAACAGTAAAAATTGGTCAAAATCTGAATTAAATCCACAGTGCAGTCAAAACAGCATTTCCGGTAGAAATCTGAGAAAAGATTTTGTCCCAAATGCCGCCTTAACACGACCTGTGAGCGTCAGTAAACCACTTGATACTGTATGACAAACACACTGAAAATAAAATGAACAGAAAAGTGCAGTTCTGCCTCTCTGAAATGTTTGCAAAGCTGAAACAAGCCATTTTCCATCTTAACTTGCAATGTTTCCATATTTCTGCTTAACTTCTGTTACCTTCCGTAACATGTTTCCATTCTTCCTTCCTTCCTTCCTTCTCTCCTCATTTTCCCTCTGCTGCCTCGGTCAGTCGTTGGAGAGGCAGAGGGAAATCTCTGACATTGTTCGGATCGAACGAGACCGTCTTAGAGGCGAGGTGATCCGACTCCAAGATTTACTCAAGGTAGTGAGAGGAGGAACACCTGAGGTCACTGCCTACACTTGTGTGATGTCACCAAACATCATCATTCCACTGTTACCTGATTTATGAACGCTATCAAAAGATAAACGCCATCTTTACCCACAGCGCTGACAACTGCAGCTTCACTCTGTACAAACCTCACCAGTATCGACCGCAACTTACTTATGGAAAATTACACTGTACTTTTTTAACACTTAAATTACATCTATGTAGTTTTACAGCTAAAACTAGAGCCACACCGTAATCTTGTAAAATTACATCTTTATTTTTCACTCCTTAATATTCATCATATGTGAAATTACATTTTAGTTGTAGTAAAATTTTAATTACAACTTTATAAATCTGCTGTTTATTTTTGTAAGATAGAAACTGGGATGCAGAAGAAAATACTTTCCAGTGAGATGGAAGTTAAAAAAATAAGATTCTCCTCAGGGCAATCTGAGACTATTGATTTGATAAATGACTTGATTATTTTCTCCTGAACAGAAACACGGAGTCGTCGTCTCACCTGAAGTCAAAACCAATGGCGACACAGGACAGGGGGAGGGCGAGGTCCAGGATGAGGACACTGTAGACTGTGCCTCCCATTTGTCTCAGGAGTCGTCTCATGGCAGCAGAGAGAGCGTGCTCGGTGAGAATAACTTCAACCTATGAACAGCAAGCTGTCACCATTAACGGCTTGTAAATCCAGCCTGCTGTTAGGAAATAACTTGTTTGCTAACACTGAAGCAGCAAGAAAATAGAGGTGTTAGAAATGAAATTGAAAGTCAAAATGATGATACCAAGACAAAGTTATATGAGAGAAAGTCAGACTTTGGCTAAAGGCCTGTTTCTTACTCAGTGTAAGTTATGTGGATGCACAAGTGTTTTAGTGGACAAACGAAAACAGCTGCAGAAGAGGAGTGCATTACTGTGCTACTCCTGAAGCTCGGCTTCAACAAAAGAATGAAAAGAGACCTTTAGTCTGTCTCATCATTTTGACTTCACTAATTCATTCCATGCATTTCACAAAAGTAAAGTTTGCCAATATCTGCCATGTTGGAATAAAGTACATCATGTGCATGTTTCAGTGTGTCTGTAACAAACGCATGCTGCTGTGTAATTTTTTTTTACTTTAACCAATGTTCTGTTCAGGATGGATGCTCTCAGATTCGGCATCTGTTTTCTAACACATCGTCCTGCAGAGGATTAAAAGAAAAACTCTCCTTTAATTCTTCTGTGATCCAGATCTTGATTCATCTCTCGTCCAGTCGGTTTGGGTTAATTCCCGGTTTCTTTGTCCGTTTTCTGTCTCTCTAACCAGTCACTTCGGCTTCGCCCTCCAATGTTGTCTTCATGATCTTTCAGGGAAGGTTCAGGAGCAGCAGCCAACAGGGGGCAGCAAACTTCCACTGGACGCCCGCTGTCAGATTTACAGCAGTTCCTGGTCTCCGACTGTCACCTCCACAAGTGAACAAAGCAAAGCTGATGCTTTGAAACCGGTAAAGGTGGCAAATAAACAAGCCAGTGATGCACAAGATGGAGCAGAAGAACATCCAGACAGAAATGAGGGCACAAGAACCAAGGGAAATGAGAAAGAGCCAATGAAGACATTGCAATTCACAAATCTTCTGTTTGGAAACAAAGGAATTAAAACACAACCAGTGCAAAATGAGCCAGGAACTGTTGCTTGGATACATGACCCGAAAACAATCAACCTAGTGACAGAAGATAATGACCAGGTATTTACAGGGCAAACTAAAGACCTCAAATTAAGAGTTTTTCCACCTCAACCCTCAAAGGACCTCGTCTTTGATAACAAAGCAACAGTGTTGAGTATCTGGGCTGCTGACAGTCAAACCTCTCCATCTGAAGAGAAGCAAAAACGAGATGTCAAAGGTGCTGTGATAAATGAGGCTTCATCTTCTGGCTTGGTGTCAGCTGTAGATCAGAGTTTCCAGAATAAGGAGAAAGATGGAACCATGAACAGGGCTGGAAGATGTTCTGAAAGTGTGTCAAACATTTCAGCCTTGTGTGCAACAGAAAAAATGTACAAGATGAGTTCTTTCAGGATACATGAAGAGGGACCGGTTAAAGAGGCTATTCATCCAAAATGTAACAAGCAGACAAAAAGGGTTTGTGCAGAAAACGCAATACAAAGAATGCTGAGAGGGTTTGTTGAAAATCAGGGTTTTGTGGATGAAATCTGGAGAATTATTCTAGAAATTGCAGGATCTCTCAATCGGTGGATTCCAGAATTACAAGGTACGCTAAGGAACATTTGCGGAAATATGTCTGTTCGGGTTGGTAGAGCTGACAAAGAATCATCATGTCAAATGAAACTTCCTGCAGAACCTGAGCCGCCTTTAAAGGGGTCACCAGAAGGAGATAAAGTGAGGACGTAAACTCAGCTGGACATTCAGCAGCACAGGAGGACGGTTTGGTCTTGGGGCTGTTGGAAACACCATTTCTGGTGGAACGTCCTCAGTCCTCTGTCTTCGGTGACTCCACTGATTCAAGAAGAAAAGTCTGAAACCATTAAGGATTTCAGAGAAAGTGGCGAACTAGCAGCTTCAGTAATGGCTTTGAATTCCGTTCAGAACAAAAGTCTGGTGTAAATTCTGCAATAAAGTGAGGATAAGGATAATCACCTTTTATTGGCCAAGTATGTTACACACAAGGAATTTGTTTCCGGTACAGAACTGAGGGAGCCATCTGCAGCGCCATCTCAACAGATGGCTCTAGCCATCGGGGGCAACAGGAGGGTTCAGTGTCTTGCCCAAGGACACTTCGACATGTGGACTGCAGGCACCGATTCGAACCTCAACCTTCCGGTTGGGAGACGACTGCTCTACCCACCGCACCACTGTCACCTCCCCCAAGGTGAGAGTTACCCCAAGGTGACGAGCTGCTAGGAGGATTTAGTTCTTGTCAACACCTGCATTTCTGAACTTTTAAAGCTCACCTATGTGGTGTCTGGATTGGATTGGGTTTTGGCACATGCATCAGCTAATCCAAAGAAACTCAGAGGAATCAGCACTGTTGAGGATCAGACAGCTGAAGCCGTTGCTGAAACTAACAAATGGAGAGAGGCTGTTCTTAGAGGTTAAAGCCACCTTCTTCCTGTTGAGGAGACACAACTCCAAAGGTGTCAGACGTTGCCGACAAACCTTTCATGTTGGTCAAAAGCCAGCGGTCAGAAGGTTTTTAGAAATAACTGCAGATGAAAACGAAGTGATGGCTTTTCCAGAGTCATTGTTAACAAGGCAACAGGAAGGAAGAATTGCTGAGGATCAGTGAATTTGTGAGTCAACGGGACAAAAGGCCAAGTCTGAGAAGGTGCAGGTCAAAGATATGGACAGCTGTGAGGAGGCTGAGGAAGTGACAGTATAGCAACCAGCAACACGACAGTGCCAAGCAGTGATGGAGGCTGTTGAAGATGCAGAAGCTGTTCCAGTGGTGGGGAGCGAGAAATATCTGAGGGGATTTGGTTTGGACGATGAACACAAAACTGATGGCAACACTTCACGGAAATGAAGCAAAATCAGATACTTTCATTAAATTTCAACTAGATGCTGGTGCTTTAATAAACTTAAATGATATAATGATATAACATTTAACCAATAAAAGGTCTGTACTGAGTGAACAAAAACTGTTAGTTTGCTCATTTAGCTGTGAATCCTTTGTTTACATCATATGTTTGAGTTGACACCTTTCAGATTTTATTCTCAGCGATTCACTTTACAAGGGTAAGCAACTATGTTTTCCTCACTCCTAAATATTTTATGTTTTAGTGTAATTTTATTTTTGTGATTTGTTTATAACTTGTGTATTTGTTGATCTGTGTTGCTGTAAGTTATTGCCATTTTGGGAAACAACTAGAAGGTCATATTGGTGCTTGAGTGTTGCAGCCACAGACTAAAAGGTAGAAATATTGGTTCCAGTGGATTCTCTCTTGGTCTAATATCTGTGTGGATGACATGAATTCAGCTGAAGCTGCATTCAGTGATTCTGGCCTGTCGGGTGCAGAAAGACTCCAAAGTGTGTTTCTTTTATAAAGTTACACCTGACCAGAGTATGTGTTGCCATGGAGATGTGCAGAAGTCTAAAACTCACTGTGTATTAGAACGGTCTCCTTCCGGTCTACTGCCAAATCCTTCAGAGGAAAATCATTTTGTTCTAACTCGCATCCACAATAAAGTTAATTAATTAGTAGGATGGTTTTGTGGAAAATGTGAACTAGCACACACTAAAGGCAACAGCTCTGTGTGTAAGTCCCTCATTGTTAGGAACAGACCTAAATACTGTGAACATCTGAGGTCTGTTACAGCTCATTTAAAGTTGTTTTCTGCTGTGTTTCAGAGCTGCGTCTGAAGAAGCTGTTTGAGGAAAGAGGGAGTTTACAGGATCAGGTGCGACAAGGACACTTGCTGAAGTTTGCTTCTGTTTACATGTATGATACCGCAAGTCATGAAACTAGTCAGTGTTTGTGTGCAGGTGAGAGCGCTGAAGTCTGAGCTGGATCAGAGACAGAAGAACGGGACAGAACAAGTCCAGATCCCAGAGGAGGGCAGTCTAGAGAGCGGGGTGGACTCTCACCTTCTGGACCTGCAGAGTGTGTACTCTTCTTTTTTTGTGACTTTTATCAGCCCCTTCGTTTCCTTTTCTGCTTTGTCTCCAGCTTTGACATCTTCTCCAGTTGCCATTTTGTCTTAACTCCATGTGTTTCTTCTTTGGTGGTCTCTTCTTCTTCTACTCAATTTCATTGTTTTCATTGTCCACAGATTTTTCACCTTTTCCTTGTCTTGTCCTCTTTTATTTTTTGCTGAAACTTTTATTTGTTCACATTTTAAATATATTTTTTTCAAACTGTTTTTGTCACCTTAGTTTTCTTTGAAATATGTCTTCTACAAACCTTTTGTTCTTTATATTAAAGGATAAGGCCAGTCATTTTCTATACTAACAGTATTTTCAGCACTCCATGTACACAGGCTAACACCAACAATGAATCACCTCTACTCACAGTTGATGTCAGTCAGTCCTGGATCAGATTATTTGTCTGCGCCACAGACTTGTTCAAAACAGCAGTGGAAGTATTGCTGAGGTGTGATACTTTTAAAGAAGTTACCCCAAATGGTCATAACTTTTTCCAGTGTCTGAAGTAAGATTCAGCTGCATGAGATCTCTGGATATTCTTAACAAATATCAGTCTTGTGTTTTGTGATGAGGAAACCATGTCACCCAGTGCAACAGTGTGATTCCCTGATTGTTCCCTGAAATCATTGTTGAACCACAGTAGAGCTCTGTGGCACAGACGAATAAGATAATCCAGAACTGACAGACATTAACGGTGAGTACAGGCTAAGCATTGTTAGTTTTAGTCTCTGTGTGGGGACTGTTGAAAATACTGTTAGTACAGAAAATGACCGGCCTTATGCTTGAAACTTTCCCTTCATCCTGTATTCATCACGTGAGCATTTTAACTAAGTGAAAACTGATTTACTGGTGATGATGTTTATATCTACATATTTTCTAATGTGAGTAAGAAGCTCCTTTTTGGCCAGATGTTCCTCTCAGACAGTGCACAGGGCCTAAACAATCTCACTTGCTCTCACTTGTTTGTGTTATTGTGGTCTTTACTTCAGGAGATGCCAACAGACAAATCAGTGACCTCAAGTTCAAACTGGTGAAATCTGAACAGGAAGTGGCCACTCTGGAACAAAACGTACGTAACAAAGATGCTGTTTGTTAATAGTGGCTGAAATAACAGCATCATTTGTTTTAATGACACAAAGTTGAACAAAGCGGTCATTGATGGTTGTGTGGCTGCTTGGGCCACAAAGTCAAAGACAGGTGACAGTAAAACGAGCAAGAGCCGTTCACTTTGTTCTTACCGTTTCAGATCATCCGTCTTGAGGGTCAGGTGACTCGCTACAAGTCGGTGTCGGAAAACTACGAAAAGATTGAAGACGAGCTGAAGGTGGAGAAGAGGAAACTGCAGAGAGAGGTCATTTTTATTTTACACTCCTTAATCCCTAAGACTCCAGCCTCCTATAATTATTTGTATTTATCGTGGTCTCTGTTTTTATTTGTTATAGTCTCTATTAAAACCTGTATAATATTAGAATTTTTGTATTTTTCAGTTTCAATAATTTGACATTTTAATGTATTTTTTAAACAAACATTTGTTTAAAGTTCTAACTTTCTATTAACATTAAATAATGTTGTTTTAAATGTTTTACTCTTTTTTTGTTTGTTTTTTGTAATATGAAAAATTCAGATTTCCAGGAAACCTCAGGAAACTAAAATGCTTAAACACCTTCAAACAGACAAAGGGAGTCAGAACCTGCTTAATTTTTCATTCTTAATTTTGGTCAAATGGGATCATAGACGTTTTCTGAACCACTTTGTTCGTGTCCTGGATGTTTTTTTTCTTGAACATAATCAGATATGTTATGTTTTACTTTGTTATATCTCTTGGGTCTTTGTGGTCACGAACAGACATGTTAATGTTCTGATGTTCGTGCAGCTCCGCTCAGCACTGGACCAGATAGAGGAGCTGGAGAGCAGTAACAGCCACCTGTCCAAGCGTCTGGAGAAGATGAAGGCCAACAGAAACGCTCTGCTGGCCCAGCAGTGACTCCGTCCTGGGAGTTGCCCAGGAACGGTTTGTGCCATGTTTTCATCAGAGAGTGATGATCAGCTGCACCGACCAGAGCATTTGTGGTGCGCTTGTTTTCACTCTGCATCCAGCAGCAGACGAGTGGAGTCACCTGAGGCAGGAGTTTCTAAAAAGGATTAAACTTGTGCCTCGTGATCTGTAAACAAACCCAGAATGTGAAAAGTCAATCTCATGTTGAACATGCAAGGAAGATGCATCCATCAATCAATCATCGGTGTGGGGGTCATACAGTGACATCTGTAGCATAGCTCCATGATCACATCCATAGGTACATGGGTGGAGTTTACCTCACTGTCAGAGCTGCGGTAAACATAAGTCTAACAAAGTTTTTGTCTGCGCTCAGATTTTGTGAATGTTGGAGGGAACGTTCAGGTCAGTAATGAGACATCAGGTTTGTGCTCAGCACATATCTCGCTGGTAACATAATAGTAAAAGAATAACTTGTGGATCTTTCACAAGACACTATCTTGTTTTCATAACCTTTAATTCACATAAAATAAGACTTGTTTTACAAACATGATTTGTTCAAAAAATTCCACAAGATCCTGTTTGTAAAAGTTAGTGTTGAAAAATAGCACGATTAGTCTCCGTGTCCAGAGATCGGGTCGTCGGGGCCCCTGCCTTCGACTGCTGCCCAATCCACTGTGCACCGGCCCCTTACGGATCCTCCTGCAGGTGGTGAGCCCACAGGAGGACGTCCCCACGTTATTGTTGTTGTATGTTAATATTTGTCTCAAATTGCATAATAGGCCTACAATTTATTTTAACTACACAATGTTGTTTAGTGAGTCTAAATCACAGACATAAAGCTGCTTTAGCTGTATATTAGTATTTTGTCAGCATTATAGCTGAACAAGCCTTATTAAAGTTAGACCTAACAGTAGAGTACTTGCAGTAATCTGTGTATTTACCTTCAGTATTATTAGACCAATGCCAAAGGACAAATTCTCTAATAAGATTTGCCAGTTACAGCCTGGCGGGTTTACATAAGTGTATGTGTATCAAAATAAAGAAATGCA